CCCGTTGTTCGTTGTTTGAAGCGTTGAAGCGATTAGACGATTGTAAATAAATTTGATTATTTACTCGCTTAATTAATTTTACATATGCACCGTTATTGTAAAGCAGCTCATCTCACTGTATAGACCATTGTACTCAGTATATTGTATAATTGAATAATAAAGTTATATTTGCTTGCCTAATTCCAAATCATTTATCTCTTTCTTCTAATATAACACATCGATTGATCAGATCATAATCATAAACAAATCACGATCATCTGATCATAAAAAGTGATCCTATCCAAAAAATAAAGCCAATCGTAGTAAAACATTTCCGAAAGTAATCGTAAACGTAAAAATTTTCCTACCTTTGAGCCAATTGCGTCGAAAATTTCCACATGGCGTTGGAAAAGCGTTGAAACCAAAACCAAATTTTTCTGAATTTTCACTATGATTCCGGAGACGCGATCACTTCCTCATAAGATTAATCGCTTTTAAATTCTGCTTTCATCCAAAAAATCAGACCAGTTGTGTGTTAGAAAGTTGATTTTGTCTAGAGCGAAAGTGGATTATTGCCCACGGCAAAGTCACTCCAGCACACACAAATATTCACAGCGTGATCCAGATCCATTATCCATCCATTCATCAATGACGCCCTGAATCGATCAATCACCCGTTGATCACTAGTGATCGACGATAAAAAATAAGGTCAACATTTTGCAACATTCATAAAATCTGGTAGAACCATCCGTCGTCGAATTTTGAACCAGCAATTGATTCTTTCAGCAAAATAACAGAACAGCGAAATAATCAAAGTAATCCTACAGTTTAGGTCAAGGGGAACGGATAGAATCATTTTAGATCAGTAACCACGCTCGTAGTCACTGATCTAAACTGAATTCACTTCCGATCAATAATAACCATGCTACCTGTGCAACACAGATAGCTGAGCATAACTCCACCAAACCCAAACCCAAACCCAACCCCATACAAACCAATCGATGCACACAGCTCTATTCACCAGCCCTTCCCCTAAACCAACCACACCAGACGAACCCAAGCACAACAATAAAGTAAATTTCACTCTCGAGCTCCCTTTAATTCAATTCGCTCGCGCGTCACGCGTACCAGCGCGCTTGCGTACCAATTTTTGGCGCGCAATCGATCTCTAGCTTGATCAAAACGATGATCAACTCGACATGATCAACTAAACCTTGATCTGCTGATCAAAATGGCCCACAATCAGCACGCCACAATATTCTCCACGGGCGTTACGCCACACCCTCACCTGAAAACAGTATTAATAACAAGTGTAACAATAAATAATATCAACAGGTAATAATACTGGTAACTTCCAGTGAAATTAATAATGACCAAACGACAATATTTATAAATGAGTTTATTCAAATGAGTTTATACAAAACAATTACAATTGAAAACGACGATATTATAAATTCAGTTATTATTATGACACTATTAATATTACTAATAACAAACAATAATTCATTAATGACATTATGAACATTAATAATAATAATAATAAGTAACAATAAATACTAATAATAACAATAAATATTAATAATAATTAAAAATGTTGCTTAAAGTTGTCATAGAAACGAAACCATTTCATCAATAAATGCCGAATCGCGAAAACATTCAAATTGTTCGCGTCCACATTCGGCGAGTAGTTGTTGATCAGGAGGTAGGGAACCTCCTTGATCTGGTGTCCCGCCACGCTCGCGCTCCGATGTGCTGCCTTGTGCTGCAGCTCTATACCCACCCCGTTCTCGTAGCAACGTCTGCAACTTTTTATTATATAAATATCACATTAATTATTATAACATCTGGATTACCTGGATATTAATAGCTAGATATTACCCAGATATTATCTGGATATTACCTGACAACATCCGGATATTACCTGGCTATAATCCAGGTAATCCTAGCCTGAATTATAATATCTAACCTAAAGCCGAAATTGGATTATCATTACCAAGTTTATCACAAGTCAGAGCGAATCATAGTAACCAATGAAAATATTAAACAATCGCACCTAATCGCCCTGTAGTGATGCCGTATAAATCCCGAGCATTGGCTCAACGCCAAATCCACATCCAATTTCGNTATAACAGATACATCCCATATATCCTATACCTATACCTATATCCTATACCTAGTAAAGTTATATCCCATAAAATTCGTAATTATTGTAATCATTGATATTATTACTACATTATTGTCTAATAGTAATGTAGTCTATCATTGCATTAATACCACTAAATCGTATCTATTATCACTCAAATCTATTATAATCACTGAATTATCACTATCACTAAAATGCATTACTATCCGATAGCATCATAATTTAATTGGATTATCATTATTAAATTTATCAAGGCAATCAGTCGCCAACCCTGAGAATGCGTGAATTTCCCCACGGCACCAGCTCGAGTTCGATGAACGGTCTGAACTGGTGATACAACGCGCCCAAATGGTTCACGATGAAACGCTGACAATACGGACATAGCGCCTGCAATTTGACAATTGACAATATGGCAATTTGACAATTGACAATATGGCAATTGACATCGCATCCATCAAAAAGGACTGCAAGCGAAAGCGAACCTCATAAATCAG